AGACCAGCCGTGACTTGCGGGCCTAGTCGCTGATGACGGTTAGCGCGAGACCAGCCGTGACTTGCGGGCCTAGTCGCTGATGACGGTTAGCGCGAGACCAGCCGTGACTTGCGGGCCTAGTCGCTGATGACGGTTAGCGCGAGACCAGCCGTGACTTGCGGGCCGTGATGACGGTTAGCGCGAGACCAGCCGTGACTTGCGGGCCTAGTCGCTGATGACGGTTAGCGCGAGACCAGCCGTGACTTGCGGGCCTAGTCGCTGATGACGGTTAGCGCGAGACCAGCCGTGACTTGCGGGCCTAGTCGCTGATGACGGTTAGTGCGAGTCCAGCCCAGCCGTGACTTGCTGGGCCTAGTCGCTGATGACGGTTAGCGCGAGACCAGCCGTGACTTGCGGGCCTAGTCGCTGATGACGGTTAGCGCGAGACCAGCCGTGACTTGCGGGCCTAGTCGCTGATGACGGTTAGCGCGAGACCAGCCAGCCGTGACTTGCGGGCCTAGTCGCTGATGACGGTTAGCGCGAGACCAGCCGTGACTTGCGGGCCTAGTCGCTGATGACGGTTAGCGCGAGACCAGCCGTGACTTGCGGGCCTAGTCGCTGATGACGGTTAGCGCGAGACCAGCCGTGACTTGCGGGCCTAGTCGCTGATGACGGTTAGCGCGAGACCAGCCGTGACTTGCGGGCCTAGTCGCTGATGACGGTTAGCGCGAGACCAGCCGTGACTTGCGGGCCTAGTCGCTGATGACGGTTAGCGCGAGACCAGCCGTGACTTGCGGGCCTAGTCGCGAGACGGTTAGCGCGAGACCAGCCGTGACTTGCGGGCCTAGTCGCTGATGACGGTTAGCGCGAGACCAGCCGTGACTTGCGGGCCTAGTCGCTGATGACGGTTAGCGCGAGACCAGCCGTGACTTGCGCCTAGTCGCTGATGACGGTTAGCGCGAGACCAGCCGTGACTTGCGGGCCTAGTCGCTGATGACGGTTAGCGCGAGACCAGCCGTGACTTGCGGGCCTAGTCGCTGATGATGACGGTTAGCCTAGTCGCGAGACCAGCCGCGAGACTTGCGGGCCTAGTCGCTGATGACGGTTAGCGCGAGACCAGCCGTGACTTGCGGGCCTAGTCGCTGATGACGGTTAGCGCGAGACCAGCCGTGACTTGCGGGCCTAGTCGCTGATGACGGTTAGCGCGAGACCAGCCGTGACTTGCGGGCCTAGTCGCTGATGACGGTTAGCGCGAGACCAGCCGTGACTTGCGGGCCTAGTCGCTGATGACGGTTAGCGCGAGACCAGCCGTGACTTGCGGGCCTAGTCGCTGATGACGGTTAGCGCGAGACCAGCCGTGACTTGCGGGCCTAGTCGCTGATGACGGTTAGCGCGAGACCAGCCGTGACTTGTTAGCGGCCTAGTCGCTGATGACGGTTAGCGCGAGACCAGCCGTGACTTGCGGGCCTAGTCGCTGATGACGGTTAGCGCGAGACCAGCCGTGACTTGCGGGCCTAGTCGCTGATGACGGTTAGCGCGAGACCAGCCGTGACTTGCGGGCCTAGTCGCTGATGACGGTTAGCGCGAGACCAGCCGTGACTTGCGGGCCTAGTCGCTGATGACGGTTAGCGCGAGACCAGCCGTGACTTGCGGGCCTAGTCGCTGATGACGGTTAGCGCGAGACCAGCCGGCCTAGACGGTTAGCGCGAGACCAGCCGTGACTTGCGGGCCTAGTCGCTGATGACGGTTAGCGCGAGACCAGCCGTGACTTGCGGGCCTAGTCGCTGATGACGGTTAGCGCGAGACCAGCCGTGACTTGCGGGCCTAGTCGCTGATGACGGTTAGCGCGAGACCAGCCGTGACTTGCGGGCCTAGTCGCTGATGACGGTTAGCGCGAGACCAGCCGTGACTTGCGGGCCTAGTCGCTGATGACGGTTAGCGCGAGACCAGCCGTGACTTGCCTAGTCGCTGATGACTTGCGCGAGACCTAGTCGCTGATGACGCTGAGTGACGGTTAGCGCGAGACCAGCCGTGACTTGCGGGCCTAGTCGCTGATGACGGTTAGTGCGAGACCAGCCGTGACTTGCGGGCCTAGTCGCTGATGACGGTTAGTGCGAGACCAGCCGTGCCGTGACTTGCGGGCCTAGTCGCTGATGACGGCCTAGTGATGAGTTAGTGCCAGCCGTGACTTGCGGGCCTAGTCGCTGATGACGGTTAGTGCGAGACCAGCCGTGACTTGCGGGCCTAGTCGCTGTGACTTGACGGGCCTAGTCGCTGATGACGGTTAGTGCGAGACCAGCCGTGACTTGCGGGCCTAGTCGCTGATGACGGTTAGTGCGAGACCAGACCAGTGACTTGCGGGCCTAGTCGCTGATGACGGTTAGTGCGAGACCAGCCGTGACTTGCGGGCCTAGTCGCTGATGACGGTTAGTGCGAGACCAGCCGTGACTTGCGGGCCTAGTCGCTGATGACGGTTAGTGCGAGACCAGCCGTGACTTGCGGGCCTAGTCGCTGATGACGGTTAGTGCGCTAGTAAGCCACAACAGCGCACATGGGGAGTTTTCAGGAGCAGAACAACCGCTACCTGCACTGCCGCCACGGCTTCAGGTCCCATCCAGCATCGTACATTAGGCACCCAATCGGCTTCAGGCCCCATCCAGCATCGTACATTAGGCACCCAATCGGCTTCAGGCCCCATCCAGCACCATACATTAGGCATCCAATCGGCTTCAGGCCCCATTTAGCATCTTACATTAGGCACCTAATCGGCTTCATGCTCCATTTAGCATCTTACATTAGGCACCCAATCGGCTTCAGGTCCCATTTAGCATCTTACATTAGGCATCCAATCGGCTTCAGGCCCCATTTAGCATCTTACTTTAGGCACCCAATCGGCTTCAGGCCCCATTTAGCATCTTACATTAGGCTTCCAATCGGCTTCAGGCCCCATTTAGCATCTTACATTAGGCACCCAATATAATGACGAATATAGAGACCTAAAACTGGGCACCCTGACGCTGGACACGTCCACGTCCACGTCCAGGTCCACGTCCACGTCCACGTCCAGGTCCACGTCCAGGTCCACGTCCAGGTCCACGTCCACGTCCAGGTCCACGTCCAGGTCCACGTCCAGGTCCACGTCCACGTCCAGGTCCACGTCCACGTCCAGGTCCACGTCCAGGTCCACGTCCAGGTCCACGTCCAGGTCCACGTCCACGTCCACGTCCACGTCCACGTCCACGTCCAGGTCCACGTCCACTTCCACGTCCACGTTCACATACCGCCAGGGTATGTCCAACAAAACACTACTGCAACAGCGAACAATCTTATAAACGTTGACCTGGTGATTTGACATTCTTCATGTCTTTGCCCAAAGGTCAGCTGTAGGATTATGACTTGCATAATGCGTTCATTTATTTGTTATGTTTAGTTAAATAATCTACGCTAAAAAAATCTGGCATCAACAGTAGCCACTTCACTAAAAAGATCTATTTTGTAGAAGGGTTTAATCGTGACACGTCATCATATATGTTAGAATGCTAGATTTGTCAAGGAAGGCAGGGGCAACACTGAACTAAAACAAAGTTACAGATGGCGACACATGCAAATATGGGACAGGCGCAGTCACCTTGATACAGGCTTCGGTCGAACCGTTGGGTTGTATTTGTGCACGAATTGTCCATGTCCTCCAATCGGCTTTGAAGTCATCGTTTGTGTTGTATTTAATAGTCACAACTGTAGTTTGTTGCATATGACCTTTGGAACGTCAGCCATCACATAAGACAACTTAAGATCTGATTTGTGGCAAGCAGTGACTAACTGTTTATTGTCGCATATTTGTCAATGAATACACTGCAGATTGTGATGGATAAGACGTTGGGATTTCTCCAAAACCTTTGTATGGAGTTCTCTTGTTTCCATTTACTTCTATAGATTGGAGACACCGTTCAGCTGTTTTGTTGCACCCCGCTGGAAACTTTCTTGTAGTCTTTAAGATCTGCATCAATATTTTTTTTTTTTGTGACCTTCTATATATCGAGCATTCTTATAAACATTATGTCTTCTCAAGTTCCACTGATTTCACGGAACTTGAAATGTAACATATGGTGCTATTTCCGTCGTTAGACATGCATTATGTCTATATTTCTGACATTTGACTGACCTGACCACATGTTAGGGAGTCCCGCGATCATACGCGTTCCTGCAGAGAGGTGCTGTCGTCATTTGGTGGTGGCATTTTCGATTCCTACTATGGTAACTAAAGGTTTGACTTTTGTATTCTCTATTGTGACTTTGTATCTTCAATTCTTTCCTTCACGTGTATTAGTGGCAATAAGTGCATGTCAATTTATTTACCACACCAGTTTTTACATCAGAAGTACGTAGTTACCAAACAACAGAAAACAAGGAAACAATGCATGAAACAACATGGATGGAAACGGTTGTGAATTTTCAGCTGAAATTTCACACAAAAAGAATGTGTTCAGTTAGACGTGTCTTGCAGCTACGGCCTACATGCGTAGAAATGTCTGTTGCACAAGCGGAGATAATGTTGTACATGAAGAATTGTGCGCTTCTCTTGAATAATGGTAATAATTTTATTACTTTCTGGCGCTTGTTTCTGATTATCTGGTCGAAAATAATATTTCATGACTCGATTATAATTTATATCGAATTTCGTATTTATTGAAACGTCAAATCTGGTCATGGAATGGAACTTATGCATTCGATTACATGACAACTTCGATATCGGCCGGGAACAAGACGCGGCTATCGACACGGAGCGGGTTAGCAAATTAAGGAGGCGGTTGTTGCGGTCGGGTGGTTGGTTGGTGGTGGCGACGACAGGATATTGGTTGTTGTAGGGCAATTTTGATAGTTAATTTCATAAACACAAAGTGATGTGGATGTTAAGTGTGCGGCTGTGGTGAACAAGTAGCCACGTTTGTGAGAGATTTAGTTGAAGTGAATACATTACTGCTTGGAATCGAAGCTGGATAATTATAGAATGTGAATCGTTCAAACAATTACAATTGATTGTTTAAAGAATATATTGGAGGGAGACATTTTAGTTAGAAATCCTGTCCACTGCATAATGTCGATGATTAATTCAAAGAGCCGTTTCCATGACTTGGGTGTGTTTGGTCATTTGGTGCTGAGAATATATTTTTGAAACTGTTAAATTATAGCATTATTAATTAGTAAACTCGGAGTGTGATCACGTTGAGAATCTCCGCATGTGGTCAATGATGCCACGTATAGAAGAAGACTGATACAATTGTATAGGTGTCTGTGTGCAATGAAAGTGATGCTGTATACAAAATCAAACTACAAACATATATTCTCTCTCTCTCTCTCTCTCTCTCTCTCTCTCTCTCTCTCTCTCTCTCTCTCTCTCTCTCTGTGCATGCCTGTCTTCTCTCTCTCTCTCTCTCTCTGCATGCCTGTCTTCTCTCTCTCTCTCTCTCTCTCTCTCTCTCTCTCTCTCTCTCTCTCTCTCTCTCTCTCTCTCTCTCTAACACGTACACACTCACTGGACACTCACATATGGAATATTCAAATCGTTTAAAGGATTGCTATACATACATTTACATTGATAGAAAGAGCCAGTGAGCGATACACAGAGAGTACAGTATAGAGAGTTTAATTGTAGAGTATAGTTATAGAGCGTATATGTACACACAGTTATAGAGATACAGAGAGAGTATGAGTTTATAGAGAGACAGAAAGAGTATGAGTTTATAGAGATACAGACAGAGTATGAAATTATTGAGATACGGATAGAGTATGAGTTTATAGAGTTACAGAGAGAGAGAGAGTATGAGTTTATAGAGTTACAGAGAGAGTATGAGTTTATAGAGATACAGAGAGAGTATGAGTTTATTGAGATACAGAGAGAGTATGAGTTTATAGAGATACAGAGAGAGTATGAGTTTAAAGAGAGACAGAAAGAGTATGAAATTATAGAGATACGGATAGAGTATGAGTTTATTGAGTTACAGAGAGAGTATGAGTTTATAGAGAGACAGAAAGAGTATGAAATTATAGAGATACGGATAGAGTATGAGTTTATAGAGATACAGGGAGAGTATGAGTTTATTGAGTTACAGAGAGAGTATGAGTTTATAGAGAGACAGAAAGAGTATGAAATTATAGAGATACGGATAGAGTATGAGTTTATAGAGATACAGGGAGAGTATGAGTTTATAGAGATACAGAGAGAGTACGAGTTTATAGAGATACAGGGAGAGTATGAATTTATAGAGATACAGGGAGAGTATGAGTTTATAGAGATACAGGGAGAGTATGAGTTTATAGAGATACAGGGAGAGTATGAGTTTATAGAGATACAGGGAGAGTATGAGTTTATAGAGATACAGGGAGAGTATGAGTTTATAGAGATACAGAGAGAGTACGAGTTTATAGATAAACAAAGAGAGTACGAGTTTATAGAGATACACAGAGAGAGAGAGAGAAAGTATACGTTTATAGAGATACGGATAGAGTACGAGTTTATAGAGAGACAGAGAGAGTACGAGTTTATAGAGATACACAGAGAGAGAGAGAGTATAAGTTTATAGAGATACAGAGAGAGTATGAGTTTATAGAGATACAGAGAGAGTATGAGTTTATAGAGATACAGAGAGAGTATAGATTTATAGAGATACAGGGAGAGTATGAGTTTATAGAGATACAGAGAGAATATGAGTTTATAGAGATACAGAGAGAATATGAGTTTACAGAGATACAGAGAGAGTATTAGCACTAACAATCTTCTTTTTTTTTAGTGTTCACTAGCTGTAAACTGAGGTATAAAGTCCTGGCTGTTCGTCCACTTCTGGACTTAAGACTTGCTCCAGAACTTGAATTTTTAGTGCACATCTGTTTTACAGATGTGGCTTATTTGTTAATCTGCAGAGTAATGGTTCATAGCTTCTCAGACAGATGCTCTCTGGATTCAGAGAAAAAGGCTTTAATTGGTTGACATGCTTGTTTAGGGACGAGGGGCAGTAGAACTCTTCTTGACCTCATAGAAGGGCACACGAACACATGCAGGCATTAGGTACACATTACTGACATGACAACAAGGTCCTGACACTGACATGACAACAAGGTCCTGACACTGACATGACAACAAGGTTCTGACACTGACATTGACAACAAGGTCCTGACACTCACATGACAACAAGGTCCTGACACTCACATGACAACAAGGTCCTGACACTGACATGACAACAAGGTCCTGACACTGACATGACAACAAGGTCCTGACACTGACATGACAACAAGGTCCTGACACTGACATGATAACAAGGTCCTGACAGTGACATGACAACAAGGTCCTGACACTGACATGACAACAAGGTCCTGACACTGACATGACAACAAGGTCCTGACACTGACATGACAACAAGGTCCTGACACTGACATGACAACAAGGTCCTGACACTGACATGACAACAAGGTCCTGACACTGACACGACAACAAGGTCCTTACAATGACATGACAACAAGGTCCCTAAACTGACATGACAACAAGGTCCCTAAATTGACATGACAACAAGGTCCTGACACTGACATGACAACAAGGTCCTTACAATGACATGACAACAAGGTCCCTAAACTGACATGACAACAAGGTCCCTAAATTGACATGACAACAAGGTGCTGACACTGACATGACAACAAGGTCCCTAAACTGACATGACAACAAGTTGCTGACACTGACATGACAATGAGGTCCTGGCACTGACATGACAACAACACATATGAACCAATGTTAGACCGCTGAACACACAACAAATGACATTACAATTTTGTGACTTATTTAGGAGATTCAGAGATGGTCAACTACTCAACCTGCACAAAGTACGAATGTTAGCATTTCGAAAGACCAATTTTCAATTGCAGAATACAACATGTTGTGTGAATTGTATCACCTCAACTTAGTACCAATTCAGGGAGGTATTATTACGGAAAATATGTGCAATTTTTACAAAAATCAAATTCTCGGAGTGTGAACATGTAATTTTAGCCCTGCTGTTTTAATCTATCAATGAAGTTGATTCGAAAGTGTATTAACAGTGAAGATAACCTTTTTGCTGTTTTTGGGGGGAAGTGACATTTGTACAACAGAAAGAAAAAAGTCATGGCAGCAAAACTAATCTGACATGTGACTCTTATATGGGAAACAAGACTAGCGGCCAGCAGACGGCTTGGATCCACACACATATGCTGCAGTATTTGTGTAAGAAAAGATTGTGTAAAAAAAGATTGTGTAAGAAAAGCATGTGTAATAAAAGCTTGTGTAAGAAAACTTATGAAGTGCATGAAAGGGGGAAATGTATCGTTTCCGTCTGCAGCTCCTTTATTTTGGATAGAGCCCAGCAATCACATAGGTGACTGCTGTTTCTGCCTGGTTAAACCCGTGCCAACACACACACACACACACACACAGACACACAGACAACAATGAACTATCCAAATTTACAATCTGCTATCTAACCATTTTCAGGTTGGGAAACTAAATGGTGGCAACTGAATGGTTTGGGAATGTCAGAGCTGTCAACTACAAGGAACTGGTTGAGGACATGTTGTCTTTCACGTTGGGAAACTAAATGGTGGCAACTGAATGGTTTGGGAATGTCAGAGCTGTCAACTACAAGGAACTGGTTGAGGACATGTTGTCTTTCACGTTGGGAAACTAAATGGTGGCAACTGAATGGTTTGGGAATGTCAGAGCTGTCAACTACAAGGAACTGGTTGAGGACATG